AATTAAGGCATAAGAGCCAGATTGAACTTGACTATAGGAAATTCCCTTAATGTATAATGTTATGTATTCCACAGCACAAATATAATAAAAATAGTAAAAAAAATGCCAATGGACAAAGCCATTGGCATTTTAAATCTATTGGATTACAAACTATACGCCTTTAAACGCTTTTATTTTTTGAATAAGCGCAGGAACCACTTGGAATGCATCTCCTACTACTCCATAATCGGCGGCTTTAAAGAATGGCGCTTCTGGATCGCTGTTGATTACTACAATCACCCTAGAAGTACCCACTCCAGCCAAATGTTGGATGGCTCCAGAGATGCCCACTGCAATGTACAAATCTGGAGAAATGGCTTTTCCAGTTTGACCCACGTGTTCAGAATGGGGTCTCCAACCAATATCCGAACAAGGCTTAGAACAAGCGGTAGCAGCGCCCAATACATCGGCCAACTCTTCAATCATACCCCAGTTCTCAGGGGCTTTCATCCCTCTACCAGCCGATACCACACGTTCGGCTTCAATCAGATTGATTTTCGCACTTTGGGCCGCTTGATTTTCAGCGGTTAATTTGGATTGAACATCCACAGAAACCGTTTCTTCGCTACCCGATACGGCGCTTTCGATTACGCCAAAAGACCCTTGCAATACCGTAATTACGTTTTTGCCTTCGGCCTGAACCACCATGATTCCTTTTCCTGAATACGATTTACGCTCAACCACAAAAGGACTCACCGATTCAGGGGCTGCCGTTACATTGGATACAATGTTGGCATCTAAAGCCACCGCCAATAAGGGCGCAAAAGTTCCTCCATCATTGGTGTGGGTTAATATTACCGTGGAGGCGTCTCCCACCAATTGGGCAATGGCTTTGGCGTAAGCATCGGGCGTAAAAATAGCCAATGCGGGATTGTTTACTTTTAAAACTTTGGTAGCACCGTATTTATACAACACATCCGACGGATCGGTGGCATTGAATGCAATGGCGGTAACCGAATCGCCGGCCTTATCGGCAACGGCTTTGGCATATGATACAGCTTCTATCGCTGCTTTTTTATATTTTCCTTCTGCAGTTTCTGCAAATACAAATATGGCCATAATGGTAAATTTTTTAGTTAATCAATT